GGTAACCCCAACCATAAAATTATATTCATTGGTACTCCATAGTGTAATTTTGCTACTCTTGTGAATCTCAATGTAAATATTTTATATACAGGATATCTGATATGCAACTCCTATGAAAGGGTCATTTTAACCCTAAAGGGGTTGCAACCCACATGTTCAGAACCACAGATTTAGTGGAATAATAAACTTCTCAAATTCTGAATTTAACTTTACCAAGTAAGGCATCTTCCCTCTGTTGAGTATTCTAACCTTTGTTCACCCCAAAACTTTTCCATAGAAAACATAAAAGGATTTGCTTTTATGTTATACGCTCACCCCATCCCCTTATACTTTAATGCCTATGTGTTGATTACATGGAAAGGTTTAAATGTTGACTTTAGCTAATGAGCTGCTGTGAATCACAAATACCCACCAACCCAACTTCCTCCCCCCATCCTTTTCCCTTTTCATATTAGAGCTACAAGAAGAGATCAGGAGTGCTTTGAATGAATAGCTTTATTTAGTATATTTATGTAAATATATATGTACTAATCTACTACAATTTCCATACCCCTGTAACCACACTATCCCCTTTCCCTTTGGCCCCTCCTCTCTTTGATATAGAATACATAGTCACACACTAAATTAGAGTAGAGAGAAATAACAACAATAGTAGATAATATTTAAAGCAATGGTTACAGGTAAACAAGTAACAAGCATATTGGGAGGAATAATGTTCATTCTCCTGTTGTAAAATGGTAAGATTTCTTTCTTTCCCTTTGTGAAGGGGTAATTCATCAATATCGCTTCAGGGAGCTTTATTCCTTTTTCATTTGAGTAGAATATGACAGTTTCAGTCTTTCTCCCAGAAGGCTTCGGTTCCACACAGTCCATATCACTAGTAGGTTTGAATCAAGCAGCAAGTGTTTGATGTGCCTATGTACACGTGCCTAGGATATATTCCATACTTCCACAGAATTTGTGAGGAAAGCTGAAAAGCTGAAAGCATTAGGGTATCAGCAAGTTCAGTTCCATTCTACGGGGAGGAGGACTGCACAGGCAGGTAATGGATAAAATTTCACTAACTACTATATAGACTCTAAATTTAAAGATGCTTTTTTATTCTATTTTTTTATTTAAATATTTTTATTCTGGGGTATTTCTACAACAGACTTTCCTTTGAGTTACGTTGCAGGTACAAAAGCATTTACAGCCCAGTCTAAAATTACAAGTATAGTAGTCAGAGTTGCTACTTACAAGATCCTATTAAATCAAAAGCCATGAGTCACAGTATCTCTCTACCTGTTGCCTTCTAAGGTCTTTCTATAAAAATATACTGGTAAACTTTATTTCCAGGAGGTCTCATCACAAAAGAGCAGGGAATTCATTCCAGATGCTACATTTCAACAATCCAATTAACATAAATCCATTTACATAAATCTGAGCACAGACACTTTTACTCGGGCCTGACTATATTATGTCAGGCAAATTTCACCAGGCTGACCTGCACCGTTTCCTCCATTGCTCCTTGAGCAGCCCGATCAGGCTCTTCTTTCCTTTAGTGTTGAGCTTCCTCTAAAGTGTTGAAACTTTATAGAATACCCCAGAAATTTTTAATTTTTCAATACGTTGTAAAATCTTGAAAATGAACACTTATTAATAACTATCATAAGATCTTATTTTGAGAATTATAATATAAAGTCATAATCACATACATGATATTACTATTACTAATATAAGGGAAGTAAGTTTGAAATAGACACATAGAAGTCTGTGAATAAGAAGTATTAGAATAAACAACATCATTTTTACTCTCATATTGTTTATGCCAGGTATATTTTCTTTCTTTCCTGATGTATACCAGATGACATCAGTGTTTTCATCTGTGAATCTTTGCTTCAGCGTCTGGAGATGTTGAAAGTCTTCAGAAGCAACAAAGTTGCGAAAGCTTATGTGACCTAATATACTATACTGTGTTGGTGTATGTAGCTAAATATTTAGATTAGTATATTTTTTTGTTTTTTTTTTTTGTTTTTTTTGTTTTTTGTTTTTTCAAGACAGGGTTTCTCTGTGGCTTTTTGGAGCCTGTCCTGAAACTAGCTCTGTAGACCAGGCTGGTCTCGAACTCACAGAGATCCGACTGCCTCTGCCTCCCGAGTGCTGGGATTAAAGGCGTGCGCCACCATCGCCCGGCTATATATATGTATATACATTTGTAGAACCTTGTGTGACACTGGGGAAAGATAACTTACAAGATACACAGGGATTTATAGTGAAAGGGACTGTCAGATCAAAACACATGAGAAAGAATGTGCATGTCACATATACAGTGACCAAAACATGATTACCAGCATCCCAGATATCTGTGCCAATAGAGGAATTCCCCCACTCCAAACTGTCCTGTTAAGGTTGAATATCAAACAGGCTACATGCAGAGCTTACGCTCATCGAAGCATGTCTGCAAGTATCCTAATTTGTACCAAGATACAGTTTCTTGGCATTTAAAACATGTAATGCCTACCTTTGAATTTGTCAAAGGAGGGAATCTAGCAGTTTTTCTTGTCTGCCACTTCTGGTACACTCTCTTTGTTGATTTGTACATATGGAAAGTGATGTCTTTTGAGTAATGTGACACAGCTAACACCCAGCCAGTAAAGGATAGCAACTGTTGTCTCCAGACGAGAAAACAGGTTTTGAAATATTTACACATCAGTTTTGCTGCTACCTTCTTGGTAGCTTCTAAATAACCTTTGTACAAAAAAGATTGGCTAGGGTGAGTGATGCAGTCTATGGAAAAAGACACACATGGGGTTTAGAAACCTGTGACCACAGTTCTTTAGCACCATGCCCGAACCCACAGAGCTAAATGGCTGCACATGGGTTAGAGCTTAAAATCTAGAGCTCTTTAGAACGATGTTCCCACCAAATAAGCCCTTCAGCCAGAAACTTCTTACAACTGTAGCACCCTCAGACTTGGCTGGGTACCGAATTCAGATTCTGTGCTGTGGAAAAACATCTAAACAAAGGCCCGCGTGAAGTTGAAACTATTCGTCTGCCCAATTCTTCAAACATCCATACACCACCAAAGCTGTTGTTTAAAGTTCTGAGTCTGTCGAGTTTCCAGCCAAGTCGGCAACAAACCTTGAAGCTGGATTACCTGGAGCATTCCAATGTCCAAGCCTTACTGGGAAGTGAAAGAATGTGTGATTCTACGTACAGAATAGAGACAGAGATGGGGAAGGATAGAACATTAAGTTAAAGCACAAAGCACAAGGTTCATTTTAATTACAAGAATAGCCCTTTTACCCAAAATTCTCCTAAGTCTGAATAGGAGAAGAAGGTGGCTACCAGAGCCAGGTAAAATCCTTCTAAGACTCATGCAGTACTCAAGCAAAATTCGACTTTGCTTGCAGTCAGTCTTAGGAAACATCTATTCTATCAAATACGAATGAAAAGGAAATACACATATCTGTCCTTAAGATGATCAGAATTATTTACATAGCATTTTGGAAAATACACAAGCGAGCTCACTACTCACAAAGACTACTAATCACCAAAACAGCTGAAGCCTAAAGATCACAGGTAGGTTGGCAGTTTATATTGGTCACAATAGAAGATAAGGTCATGTTTCACCCTAAAGGTACTCCAAATATGTATACCTGTACTTCAGTAATATAAGTTCATTGTTTTTACAATTGGGGTATTAATGATAGGTCAGGATCAATGGATTAAATTCAAAGGATAAAAAGGAAGAAGAAAAGGACAATGGAATGAAACTGAGTTTAAACTTCAATTAGGTCTTTTTCCCAATTTATGTTTGATCTTAAAAGGGACACTACACTATGGCAAGTATGGTAATTTACTTTGAAGTTCTGAACCCCCAAAACCACCACATCTTTTCACTATGTGAAAACTGAATAGTTGGAAACTGAATCATTACCTCATTTTTTGATCCTAAAAACTTGTAGATACCTTACCAACCAGGAGATATCTCAGACAGATAACTTGTCATTCATTGTTAAGGAGATTTTTAAAACAGGAAGAAAGATAGTAGTGGAGAAAGAAATGGAAGAAGAGGATGAAGTGAAAGAGGAAAAGAATGAGTAGAAGGTGGAACAGAAGCAAGGGGGAGGAAACGGACAAAGGCTAGGAAGGAGATGGGGAGAGGCTAGAGGGAGAACGAGAATACTGAGGAGGAGGCAAAGAAGAAGAGAGGAAAATGAGGAGGATCACAAGTCCGATTCTCATCCTGGTATCATCTTGACACTTGCATCCATGAATGCTGTCCAGAGGACCTTAATAACATTGTCTCCAGAAGAATGGCAGTGACAGGATGAGGTATCACTTCTTCTTTCTCCTCTCTTCTGCTGAGTTGAAATTGTCCATAAGCTAAAGAGATGGGGATAATTAAAACAACAGTAAGCACATTATATTTTCTCTTTTTCCAGAAAAAGAAAGACAAAAGTAGAGAGTACAAATTTACATGAAACAAACTATGAAACTAAATGTATAGTCAGAAGCACGGAGGAGGTTTGGGATTTTGAAGTGTGAACTTGGGCACTTCAATTTTTCTGCATTCAGAGAGAAGCTGTCACCAAATTGTTGTACAGCAACCTGAGGAAATAACTCTGATTACATGGGGTGTAATCAGAGTTATTTCCTGCCTCATCTGTTCATGGGCATCTGTAACATTTTCTATCCTCACTACCACAGAAGAGAAGAGACGACCAAGAGCTTGCACTTATAAGGTGCTTCAAGTTCCCAGAGCATCCTGTGAAATTTCAGAAATGATACCTTAGTCTCCTAGCATTTCCATGGAAACATAGCAATGAAATCCATCTTGTGTGCATCTAAATAAAATATAAATGATAATATATAGGAGCTCACAGATCTCCCGAGGCCTGCACTATCTGTACACAAGTGACAATATATGGGTGATACTCAAAAGCAATAATAAATTCTAATTATTTTGATCCTATCATACCTCATATATTTTGATAGTCAGTCGCGGTCTGGGCAGCTTAAAGTTGAGGCACTGCATGGATAAAGGAGATGTGCACTGCTGGGGAAGGAGGGGGACTGGGCAGCTCATCAAAATCTTTGAATCGTGGGAATATGGGCACTCCTGGATTGGAATCTTCAGGATCAAGGGGATGGGCACGAGATGCAGAGCGCAGTCGGCGATGCTCTCCCCTAAGGCGCCTGATTTTATCTAGCAGCTTCTTCTGGATTTCCATGATGACCTTTCGCACTTCAATACGGAAGCTATCACTGAGCCAGCAATAGATGTAGGGGTTGTAGCAGGAGCTACTAATTGCTAGCAAGTGGAGGAAAAAATAGAGACCATTGTGGCTTGAGATGGCTTCACTGGCTAGCAGCACCAGGTACACATTGAGGGGGAGCCAACTGATCGCATAGAGAAACACCACCAACATCAGCATCTTTAGGGTCTGCTTCTTCTTCCCACGCTGACAGATGTAAGTGCGGATATTGATGTCATCAACAGGATCATGGATCCACAGCTTCTTGGCCGCATGACCATAGACACCCGCCAAGACCAGCAAAGGCAACATAAAGAAGACCAGAAAGGTGCCTAGGTCAAGGTACACCCATGTGGATTTTGAAGTATATGGGAAACTGGGGAGGCAGGCACTTTCCTCAGTTGTGTTTCTAGGTTATGAGAGAGAGAAAACAAAACCAATGATTTAGTCTTTTCCTTAAGGCAATTAGGTCTTAAGGTTGAGATATATTTACTGTTTGTGTTGTGTCTGCATTGAGCATAAAACCAGGAGAGCTAGGATTCAACTGACCCAGGCTTCTCATGTACCTATAGGAAAGCCATGGCCCCAAAGATGGAAATTATAGCCCACTGTGTTGAGAGTTTTTGGGAAATAATGACAAATAACAGTTTAGAAGAATTTTATTTTTCCACCTATGTTTTGAAATGTGTTATTCTAGCTCCTATTTGCTAAATCATTCCTTATGGCTTCCAGGGTCTTGGGCTGCTAGTATAACAGCATTCCTCTTATCCCATGTTCCTCTTACCCAAATTCCACCTGGTGAAGCTTCTGGTAAACAGCATGTGGCAGTGCAGCACAGGTGCTCACAATCCAGATGACAATGATGCAAATATTGGCTTGCATGGGAGTGATCTGGGCCTTCAAAGGATGTAGCATCACCTGGGGGAAAAAGGACCCCATCCAGCTTAACAACTCAAATTAAAGTTAGACATCAATAAACTGCTCTTCCGATAAAAGGGTACAAAGACTTAGTATGTAGGTGGTAATTGCTTTATGTACTAGTTCATTTGACATGTATGTGTCATTTTGCTCATGAAATTACAGCACTGCTATGTTTCAAGAAATCAGGAATTCAAGTGAACTGACTTCAAAACTCCTCTTTCTCTGTCTGCAGTTCTGTGGAGAAAGGAAACAGATGTCCAGTAGTGTGACTTATTTTTTTCTTTACCTTCTAGCGGGTATGACAGTATCCTACATATTCCTTCATCTACCCTTCTACCTGGCTTACTCCATGGCTTTTCTCATGCCCTCCCATCCCCTCTCATCGCCTCCCATCTTGATTCCTTCATAGTCACTTTTTTTCCCAATCCTCTCTCCTTTGCTCTATGTTCCTGACTATCTCTCACCTTTTTTTCCAGATAGCTTTTTAACTGGATCTAATCACATACCATTCATTCCTTTGGTCTTTCTCCACCACTCATTTTCTGTCTCCCTCCTTAATGATTAACTATGCGATGACCACAGCTTCTTCTCCCTTGCCTCTCTTCCTTTTAATTGACTTCAATCTTTCTCCTACCTCTTTACTCATCTCTATTCATCAGCCCCTCCCCCCCCCAATCCTTCCTCTCAGACTTCATTCCCACCTTCCTTACTAAACTCTCAGACAGGTCTAATACTACTACATCTACATTAACTTATCCATGCCCTCTTGCTTCCTTTAGCCCAGTCCTGCAATGCAGCAAACAGGAAAGATTTCCCAAAAGAACATGTATCATGTGTTTATTGCCACATCTCTATTCCCATAGCACCACAGAAAAGATGGTAGCATTTTTTTAGGATTAATTTGGTGAAGTTTTATATTTTACATCTTTCAATATCACCATAAACATTACTACACATAAACATATTACACATAAACATTTTCATATATGAACTTAAGAACTTGGAAAACTTTGTAGATTTCTTGTGACCTCACTTTTCTCCATTCATCTAGGAGGATATCTTAGGCAAGATATCTGGGAGGCACATACCCGATGCCGATCCAGGGAAATAGCTACCATACTCAGCACAGTCACATAGGCACATGAATATTGGGCAAAGCGACTGAGGTGGCAGGTCATCTTTCCAAACACGAGAGCATAACACATATAGCGCACCTGTAGGAAAAATGGTTTGATGACGCATAGGAACTCAGCCCTGTGTCCATCCCTCTCCAAAGCCCCAAGACGCAAATAAAAGTCTCCTTTATCACCAAAATGCTACTGTCGTTCTCCCAATAAACAAAGGAATATTTTTACACTCCAGTTCTCATGCTCATCTCATTTTCTCCCACACAACATTCCGGCTTGAAGACATGGAGGGACACTAAATCACAAAACCTGTTAACTACATTCAAGTTCATGCACAACATTTGAAAGGTGGAGAAGCAGGGTTAATCTTTATGACAAAATTTGGATTCATACATTAGTCCAAAACTCACTAGCAACAGGTTCCACTGCCTCCCTGGGCAGCCCAATACTCTCTCAGCCTCTACCACAGCAAGGGATTAATTCGGCGACACAACAACTAACCTAACACATTTCCAAGCCCTTTTCAATGTTTCTCAGTTTTTGTTCTATTTCCTCTAAAAATGTTTTCCAAACCAAGCCAGCCCTTCCTCTGACCACACAGCACCGACTGTTGCAAGCACTAAGTTTGACTTCAGTTCTTACCCCACTCCCCCGGTTACCCTCCTCAGTACCCCAGCTTACCATGGTGAAGGGAGAGCTGAGAAGAGCAAGCATCATGTTGGTCACAGAAATGTTGACAGCGAGGAGGCCGGAGGCAGTATGGACACTGTTGTACTTCAAAATTATATAGTTGAAGACCCAGTTGCCTATGATGGAGGCAAAGACCACTATGGTGTACCCTACCACTAACCAGAACTCCAATCGATTATCCTCGGACACAATTTCCACATCTAGGGGACCTGACGTGTCGGCCAGGTCTCCTGTCATGTGTTCTGGCATCTTGGACTGTCCATGCCCAAACGCAGATGCAACATTGGACACAGCCTGAAGTACCTGGGAAGTAGTGGATGTGATCAAGTCATCAAAACCAAAAGGTACACTCAGGGCTTCTGGAGTCAGCTCTTCCCCGAAGATGCTCGTGGTGCCAGGGAAAGCCTCCTGGGGCATTTCTGTGGTTGGCTTTTTCTCCATCCCAGTGCCTTTAGTGGACCGTGAGGTCCCTAAGCTATTTGCCCAGGAGCCTCTCAAAGAAGGAAGAGGGCAAGTTGAGGCTGTGGACAGACAGGCAGGCAATCTACTCAGTGCCCTGGAGCTCTGAGCTGATAAAGTGTTCTCCAAGGTGTCTGGAGCAGGGAGAGGGGAGAAATACCAGGAACCAGGAAAAAAGACTGGACCTGCTCAGGGTGGGCAAGTGCGCAGAGCTGGGCAGCTGAACACAGGACAGGCTGTCTGAAAACGCTCTTCCTGGATAGTGCCCACAGCACCTGCTCCAAACTGGAGATGGCGTCAGGCTTCCCTCAAGCACAGATCCTCCTCCATGCTGCCATTGATTATTCCTACCCAATCTCTGTTGCCTTCAGTCAGTCATCAGTCTTTCTGTCCAAGGCCGGCTGGCGCTGTGGGCAGGGCGGAGTCAGGCAATGCCACTCCAGCTCCAAGCCCGTGCAGAGACTGCTCTGCAGCTGCCCTTTATAGAAGTCCAGGGGCCCGCGCTGGAGCCAATGGGGAGCCGCGACTCAACCCCCGCCCTGTCCTTCTGGGCTGGGGAGTCTGAGAGGCTGACAAAGTCTTTGTCGCTCCTGTTTCAAGCCCCTCCTTTTGCTGCTCTTAGCTCTCCCTTTTCTAATCCTGCAGTTAGGAACCTGGATTTATTGTTAATGGGTTCTTCTTTTTAACATCGCCCTGCCTTTAATTTGAATCCAGCATCTCCTGACTTTTCCTTGCTTTCTGTTTCTTTTTCTGCATCATCGCTCTAGGCACCGGCTGGCTGTGACACAGGTACTGAACGGAGGCTGTGGAGACTGCAGTCGCATCTGGACCAGCATGCCAGTCAGATGCCTGGGGAGAGTGGTCGATATGAAAGATTTGCCCAGATGTGGGGCTTTCACAGAGAGAATGAAAGAGGCAGGGTGCAACTGGCGAGTCAGGAGGGAAGTTTAACTTATGAGAAGCAAGAAAGAGTCACCTGGGAGTGGGCTCAACACGATGTTCTGCTATGTCTAGCCACAAAACTGCATGCCACTGACAAGGGAACTGTGCCCCTGGCCTCTGGAAACAGAGTACTATCATCTGCCCCCTAGAAAGTGACTCTTTCGGAAGCTAGACTGTCAGATTAGTCAGCTTTCTAAACGGTTCGGTTTCGTCCCTTAGGAAGATTTAGGATTTGGGAAGCTTCTGCATATCAATGATGCTAAAATCTAACCGGCAGGGAGAGGGAGCTGTAGCCTCCTTATTGAGGGTGGCAGTGGAAAACACTCTAGGACTGGTGACCCCAGACCAGCCTTTAACTTGGAAATTTTTAGCGACATCTCTATTCCAGAGGTGTTAAAGTCACAACCAGAACAACGAAGTTACCTCCTTAAAAGGATGGAGGAGATTCTGGTCTTTTCGAGCGTGCCATTTACCTATCATCTGCCATCCCTCTCTCAGCAATTGATGAGTAGAAAAACTGCAATAGATCGGTTATAGAAGGTCAGGGGGGAAATACTTTAAGCACCAAAATTAAAAATGAGAACAGGCATTCAGATACTTCTGCTGTGCAGTAAGGAGCACTCCGTTTAAGAAATCCTGGTGTTTGTTACAGCCAGACTCCTGACTTCCTAGCCACCCTTTACAGCCCAGAGACTACATATCTATTCTCCCGGAGGAATTAAAAAAGAAGACACCTGATCTCAAAAATGCCAATAATTACTGATTAAGAAATAAGCAGGAATCAATTTAGAACTATCACCATCATCATTGTCCATCAAAGATCACAAAGGAGCCACGATGCAGATAAGCAAACTTCTGGGTGTTTGCACTGAACACATCTTGCTGATTATACATTAAGAAAGTAAGAAAGGTTGGAGGCAGATCTGAGGGTGTTGCAATATTCCTGGGTTATTGTGGCTGTTGGGGAGATGGTGGAGGATGGGCTAATACTGAGTAGCAGATCAGAGAAAAACAGTTTGTGTTTTGTTTGGTGACTCACGAAGATGAGACACGTACATAAACACATTTGAAGGAATTAGTAAATCGTAATTCTGTCACAGGGACCCATCCTAGAGAAGGCACTAAGTCAGGGACTTTAGACCGATCTCTTTGCAGTAGTTTTATGAGAAGTTTGTTAAGACACATCAACTCAATGCTAACCTGACTTTCAGGACCCCAAGGAGCTTAAGATATTATGAAGATGATGGGTTAAGATGAAACTTCTAAAATCTAACTAAAATGCAAAAGAGTAAATATCAGGGTTCTGATATGGAGACCCAGACATGCTAAGGCAGGATCAAGACTGCTGATCTACCAGCTCCTTCCAGCCCCTTCCTACATAGTTAGTATAATATTATATATAAGATAATGCCTATTATTATTTTGCATACAGTTAATTCTTTGAGAATTTCATATTATATTTTGATTCTATTCACCCCCCCACTTCCTTCTAGGTCTAATGTTCATTCCATACTCACCCTTTTTTAAATACTCATTTCTTTAAAACCTAGTTGTCATGCTCTTTGAGCCAGAGGTTCTGGAGCACTCAAAAAAGTTTTGGGAAGACTCTCTTCTCATACAAATGTAAGATCCACACAACACTGCTAGTAGTGAATTCTGCAAAGACAGACATTATGTTTGTTGTATCACAGTGACATTATCACACATTTTAAAACTTGGATACATTTTTATTGCACTGTATTAATTGTTTAAATCTTGGGGTTCAGTAAGAAAATGATATACGTGTGTATAAATCATTTTTATCAGCTATTGTCTAATATCCATTATTGTTCTCCATGGGGCCCACTTGTCTTCCTTCTTTTTTCCACACAATCCCCTTTTTGCTTTTATCACTTTTATGTCTAATTTATAAATAAAATATTTGTCTTTTTGTTTTGTTGGATTTTTGTTATTTATTTATTTATTTATTTATTTATTTATTAAAGATTTCTGTCTCTTCCCCGCCTCTGCCTCCAATTTCCTCCCTCTTCCCCAATCAAGTCCCCCTCCCTCGTCAGCCCAATAAGGCAGCATCTTGTCATGCTGGCAAGGCTAACCTTAAACTTCTGATTCTTCTGCCTCAGCCTCCTGAGTTCTGGGATTACAAACATGTGCCACCAAACAGGGTACAATACTTGTCTTTGTGAAATTGGCTTATTTCTCTTTGAAACCACCACTGTATCTCTTTTTCCTCATTTCATGTCTTGTTGTACATATGGTATCTTCTTGGCCCTCAAGTCTTCAATATCTATCCATCAGCTATCTGAGACTTTGCAAAGGGGATTACAACAGTCAGTAATCAGAGGAATTCCTGGGGTCAGTAAGCCATTTATGTTCCCAGTCTATCAATGGAAGAAGGAATAAAGGATTAAAAAAGAGTTCACCATAGTGTCTATTTCTAAGAAGCAGAACATCGCACTAAAGAGAGGAACCCATACTCAGGAAATACTTAATTGAGGCAAGCATAAGATGTGCAGACAGTCAGTGATAAAGGAACAAATAGTACAAGATGTGATCTGAGGAAGCTTTTCAGATAAACTAGCACTTGATCTGGAGTTTGAATAACCCAAAGGACAGAGACAGGCAGAAAAAGGAGAGAGATTAAACTTCAGCCCCCAAATTAGGTATAAGATAGAGAGAGGAAATGCTTCTGGTTTGCTCCAGGTAACAAAAATAAATGTTTTGAATCAAAAGTATAGCCTTTCTTGTTTCTATGCATTTATCTATTACTGCAATGTTTTATGAGTATCTTCATGGAGACAGTGTAGTTGCAAGTTGAAGAAAATCATTATATGGCATGGCTGGAGTAAGAAGGAAGGATGCTTTGTACAGTAAGAGCCAGAATAAGCACTTCTCTTTATGTACTACTTCCAAGTTATCCATGCATCTTGCAGACGCACATTGTTCTCCCTTTGCATTGCTATTTTTCTAGTCTTTTACAAAATTAGAGATTTATGTTAAGAAGGATTTCTGCAATTGTCAGATGTGTTCAACCTTCTCTCCAGGTCTTCACACTGAGCCATAGTATCCAAACCAAATGTTCTCACACAACACTTTGATTGGTCCTATCTATAGAAAATACAGGCCAGATTTGTCTCATTTGGAGTCTGTGAAATTCATTCCAATGCTTAACCACAAATAATCTCATCACTGGCCACACAGCTCGAAGTTGGTCTAACTGTATGCCTGTGCTTCACAACGACCATTCTCTCTTCTGTAAGATTACAGCTTCTGAGTTGTTTTTTTTTGAGTCTTAAATATGAACAAAATGATTAACCAAACTAAATCACCAGTAACAAGAACAAAACACATCTTTTACTAAACCACTGATGTCAGTAATACCTTGCTTCCCAAATCCACATTGGAAAACAATTTTCTCATGGATATTCTATGCCCCACTTCTAGCCTGAATACTGACAAGGAAAAGAAAATGTGACACCTGCTTTGGTCGACTTCAACACTCACGAAATCTTTAGTGACATTCGCCTTTCAAACTAAAAGGCCATTGAACCAGGAAGATCTACCAAGTTTGCCATTGATTCTGACACCTGCTTGATCTATCTAAGACAAGAAGTTCATGGACAAAGGGGCAAATTCTGATGCAAATAATTCCTTGGCGCTCCCCTTTCTCCTTGCTGTGTTCCCCCCCTCCCCTGTCTTTCTCTGTTTGAGTGATCCTGTTGAAAACTTAACTTCCCTTCATCCAAATGTCTTTACCTAATATCTGCCTCCCATTAGCTGTGGACATGCTAACTGGTGATGGTCTATCCCTTCCTAACTTCAAACATTTCCCAAAACTGATTTCCCACTGAATTGGTCCCTCTTCTATGGGGAGATGCTGAAAACAAGTAAAATCACAAAACCAACCACCTCTTTGGATTTTGTTTAGGGCTCACAAGCCTGCATTATCATGGCTAGAAACTCTTCCTGGGGTAGTTAGCACCCTTTGCTGCTTCACCTGCTCTCATGGAGAAATTCAGAGCCAGATCCTGATTTGATCC